CGCAAACTGCCGTAGTTTATTAAAGACGCAAACCTCTCACTGCACGTCAGCTGCGCGCCTTCAGCAGACCTCCTCATTCCTGCAGCACGAGAGCTTAATGATTCTTTATGCGCGCCAAAAGTGGCGGATCTGTCCGGTAAAATATCTGACTGCGTGTCACCGCATCCCTAAGGACTGTTTGGCGAAATATTTGACTGCATGTCACTGCATAACAAACGACTGAAAGGATATAACTAGAGAACTCTCCACTGTGCTACTGGGTGAAAGCGTATGGCAAGCCGTTTTAGCATTTAAACCTTGTTCAGACTATCCATAAATATATTTAGAGATATCTCTAATTATATTTTGACTTGTCATAATTATAATTCGACTAGTCAGATTGAAAATATCTGCAAATATATTATGATAGACTAGTCATATTCCTCCATTGACTTCCATTGAAAAATATTTGCAGATATCTCTAAATAAGTTGACTAGTCACAATTGTAATTACATATATCTCCAAATGAATTTTGACTAGTCAAAAATCCAATTCAAGATATATACAACTGTAATTAGACTTTTAGTAAATTAATTAGAGATATCTTCAAATATATTTGTAAATATCTCTAAATATGATGAATTAAAGATATCTCTAAATGTATTATGACAAGTAAAAACTCAGAGATATCAATTACAATTGTTACTAGTCAAAATTCATCTGATTTCGTACTAGTACAATTGTAATTGCAGATATGTCTAATTGTCATTCTGAGTAGTGGAATTATAATTATGACTAGTCAAAATATAATTAGAGATATCTCTAATATATTTATGGAGTCAGAACAAAGATTTAAATGCTAAAAAGGCTTGCCATAGAGAGCGCTTCTCACTGAACAGAGCACCGCGCAACCTTCTATGTAATGTATTATCACATGCACTAAAAGCATCAACACAGCCACATTCTGCCCCAGCAAGTCAGTTTCAAACATAAAAAAAACAAACAAACAAACTTTGTGTCTTTTTTGTGGCTGGCAGATGATAATAGCAGGGCTGTATCTTTTAGTATTATATAGAATACTTTTGTTCTGCCAGATCTCCCGGGCAGGGTTTTATTTAGATTTATTTAGTTAATATTAGTTTTTGGAATTCTGTGCATTGGAAAGAAGTTCTTTCAGAAGAAGAACAGTTTTTTGAAGTATTATTTGTTTTTATTCTGTCTATTCAGTGTCCTTCAACAAGAACAGTGGTGGTGGGGTTCATAATATTCACAATGGTATTTTATTAATTGTTGGTTTAACCATGGATGAGATAATGGCTTCTATGTTATTTTCTTTTCAATGACATTTCTTATCACATGTTCAAAAACAACAGCCAATATTGCATATCTATAATTTATATAATGGGTATAATTAAACAATACTTTCACTATAATGTAAATTAGAAGTGTAATAGAAAATATATATATTTTTGCGCCATTTTGAATTTTACTCGAATACAAATACAAATACAAATACTTTTCCCCCCTCAACAAATACAAATACAAATACAAATACCGGCTGCTCCGCACATCCCTAATATATATATATATATATATATATATTTTTTTTTTTTTTTTTCTCCCTAAAACGTATGTTTCCCTTATTTTTACATCCCAATGTTGACAAGTGTGGCATGAGAACTGTGCTTTTAATCAATCCAAATTTCTAACCAAAATCCACTAAAGGGATAATTCAAACACACATGAAAATTCTGTCGTCATTCCCACATCCTTTACTTGTTTCAGACCTTTATGGGGTTGTTTATTAAAGGCGTAGTTCACCAAAAAATGCAATTTACTCAGTATTTGCTCACCCTTTGCTTGTTTCAAACATTTATGAATTTCTTTCTTCTTTTGATTTTTACTTGGATTTTTGGATGAACTATCCCTTTGAACACAAAAGAAGATATTTAGAAAAATGTTGGAAACCTGTAACCATTGGCTTTGATTTTTAGGCGAGCTGTTCCTTTAATAAAAACAATGCTTGAGGTTGTTTTAGACTTGTGTGTAAAACGGTTCATGTGAATCATAGAGATAGAAACATATTTGCAGAAAAAACAGCCGTGTGACCAATCGGCTGCCTCCATTATGCGGTAAAGTCTAGATAGGATACAGCTGCGGATGCGCACATCAATATAGCATCATTTTTGTAACACTATAAAACAATAATTTATATTTTTTACAATACTGTGATGGTTGGGTTTAGGGATGGAGTAGAGGTAGGCATTATTAAAATACAAATTATTGGGTAATTTAATAAATAACATACTCGATAATAATAAAAAATACTCGGTAGAACTACTGTTTTTACATTACTGTGATGGTTGGGTTTAGGCTTGGGGTAGGGGTAGACGTTAATAAAATACAATTAATGAGAAATTAAACTAAGATTATATGCAGTATAAATGTCGTTAACTTCCAGCCGCAGCCATATATGATCTATAGCAACAACCCCATTATGCTTCCCTTGTTTACTGTTGGTTGCTACGATACCAATACTACAGTGAGCCACTCTTAACAACTTGATAGAATACACTCCTAATTTGCATTTGAGATTTCTTTTTCTTTATAAGCCAACTTTGATTTGCTTATGATGAAAACTCATTTATTCCAGTCACTATATTGGATATGCTTTGAAATGTATGTTTATATGCTTTTGAATGTATGTTTTCCTGTGTTTTTACAGTTGATGAGCTTAGACAAGACAGCAAGTACCAGCCGAACACCCTACAGGAGTGCAGAATGCATAAGCATTTTAATAAAACAAGAGAGCCTGTGGACTAGAATTGGTTAGCATTTTCTTATCATCAAACATTATCTTTGCTGGCTGAATAAAAAACATTATTAAGTTGCATAACTGTGACTTTAATTTTGCTTGTCATCATTTGAACATGTTTGTACTTTGGGTTCTTATTAAGTTGTATAACACCATTAAAAATGTATTGAAGGTCATTGCATTATTGTGCCAAAAGCGTCATTGCAATCAGTGCTGAAATGCAAAGTGATATATATTCTGATGGACAGGGTTTGCATCTTATGATTTGTGATTGTCTATCTGTATTCAGACCAACCTCATACACGTAGATATATCTACACAATAAATGCATTAACAAAATCTTTTCGGCTTGCTTACTGTTTTGGAGAGGATAACAGTGTTGCTATGCAGTCTACAGATAAGGTGTCAATGTTCAAGGATCGCTCAGTTATATTAAATGATGATTAACTACTGACCTAATCACAGTGAACGGCTTATCTTTGTAGTACACTATATCTATGCTAATAACAACGCAATAAACAATAGCATTATGATGAACACAGCTGTCTACACACTGGTGTTGACTGATTCTAGCATTATAATTCTATATACAGGTCTATTTAAATATCAATATGATCAATCAAACTTATGCTGGACAGTAGGCTTTGTGCATTATATTGGTGGAAAGATTTTAGCAAGTTATTAGCCATAATGTGAAGTCAACACTCTCTGATCGCCCCCTGGTGTCTGGCTGCAGTAGAAGTCATAAACTCCATTTAACCTTTTCCCAAAGATAGTTTCCATCATTTTAAATTGTTCAAGAGATCTTTTTTGAATATCTTTAATATTTTATGGCATAAATATGTGTTTAGAGTCACAATTGTGTTACTGCGAGTCTGTCTTTGAGAGTTAGGACTGGATTTTGACACCATGGACCACAGTTATTGCTCACTTCAGTGCAGATTTGGGCCCCAAGCGATGCAACCAGTGAAAGATAACAAAGGCCATAAACATTACAGAACATTGTAATGTGCATTATATAGCTATGGTATAAAATTGTACATAATGTTCACATGTATTTTGTTGCCTTAAAATGTTTTGCCTTGAAACATATGGGCCTAAACATTTATGTTGCAAGTAATATTTGCATATAAACGTTTCTGAACTTTTGGATAATAAATAGTTTTTTTTTGTAAGTAAAATGTAATCAATTAGGCTTATTATTATTATTGTTAAAACTATTATAAGCCTAAGGTATAAGGCATAAGGTTCAAGAAACTGAAAAAAGTGTGGCAAAATAAAATGTATGATTATTATTACACAAATAAACCTTTAATTTTTTTTATAAAGGTTCAAGAAGCTATCCTGTTAAAAAAATTATTCTGAATATTTTAATATTAGTAATATTAAGACAAAGGCGGCACTGTGGCTAAGTGGTTAGCCCAGCCCGGCTGCTGAAAAAAAAAACAGCTTAAAGCAGCATAAGCTGTTAGGCTGGTGTTAACTGATTGACCAGCCTGGTTTTAGAGGGGTTTTGGCCATTTTCCAGGCCTGGCTAGGCTGGTCAAGCTGCTTAACTGGTCATTCCCCAGCCTGACTAGCTAAAACCAGCCTTGAAATTTCTGAAACCAGCCTGAAAATGGACAAAAAAATAAAAAATAATAAAACCAGACTGGGCGACCAGCTAAAACCAGTTTAGGCTAGTTTTTTTTCAGAAGGGTGTGGCCTCACAGCAAGAGGGTTGCTGGTTCGAGTCCCGGCTGGGTCAGTTAGCATTTCTGTGTGAAGTTTGCATGTTCTCCACGTGTTGGGGGTGTCTAAAGCATGCGCTATAGGGGAATTTATTAACTAAATTGGCCATATATATGAGTGTGAGTGAATGAGTGTGTATGGGTATTTCCTAGTTCTGGATTGGGGGCTCTGCGGTTTAAAACATATGGCGGATTAGTTGGTTGTAGTTCATTCCGCTGTGGCGACCCCTGATAAATAAGGGACGGAAAGTGAATGAATTATTGTTGCAGATTTACGAATGCACCACAACTGTGTTGATCGTCTCTGTAATAAGAATATAAAATAGTTTGATTTGTCGTGTTGCGTTCTCAACTATTATAAATTGGCGTTTAAAGGGCGTAGTTTATTTAAAGGACAAACGTTATTCTGTTAAAATATTATAAGCTGTTTAGCTGCATTTCTCCTCATTTCGTATACGCCGCGCTCAGTGGTGACAGGAGGAAGCAGAAGCATTCTGGGCATTCTGGGATACTGGCGGACCCAACAACGCTGTTACTGTGATGGCGACTAATATCGAGCAGATTTTCAGGGATTTTGTGATGAACAAGATTAAAGAAATCGAAGATGAAACCCAAGAAAACAGGTACAGTGTTCAATGCTTAGCGCGTGCGTTACTATACAGCGGATGCGTCATTAACGCGTTCATTTGTTTTTAGCCGGTTAGCAAACATTAGCAGTTATGATTAACGTTACACAAACTGTACACAGTAAATTACTGTTAACATATTAGACGCTGGAAATGGGGTATTTGCGCGTTGAACGTTAACTTACTGTTGGTCGTCGCGTGTCTGTTGCTATGCAGAAATGCTGCAGGAAGTTAGTAAGTTACACACAGTATTATATGGTAATACCATGATATTGTGACATCCACCACGCTACCGAATGAAAACAATGTTGATATAATGTTATAATTGCATTGTACTGTAGTCTATATCAAGTAATACTTCGGCAATACAATGGTCTGTGTGGTTTCTGATGTAAACATTTAAAATGACGCTTCAATTAATGTATTATGGTTAACTCATTGATAATAATATGCTCCATGTCTTTATAACAGTAATATTTTGACAGTTTGAAGTAATATATTACAGTGTTAAGTAATAATAATAGTTGTTGGATAGATAGCTGTGACAGAAATGTTCAATTTATTGATTTATTTCATCTCAGTTAAATTAATATTCTACACAAAATGATTTGACAAAACTGACGCTATGAGACATGACAACTTGTGACATGCTCTCTATATTGTTTACCATGGTACTTGTATTCGGTCTGAAATCACTTTATGACTTCAAAACTATTTAACTGACTGAACAATGTTGTACTTGGATAGTCATTGGCTGCTAATATGATTTCACTATTCAAATTACCCAAGAATAATTTCTGAAATGATGTAATAATTAAAGAGAAATCCAGAATGTGTGAATATAAAATAATCTTTAACTCAGCTGATATTTATATACTCCATAACTTTATGTATTTTGACCTTTTGAAGTAGTTGTGGGATAGTGAAGCTGTGACAGAAGTATTAAGTTTATTCAGTTCTATTGATTTACTTCATCTGAAGCTCAGTTAAAATTATATTCAGAATACAATTACTGATATGTCAAAACTGACACTATGTGAGCATTTTCTTTACCTGTATTGTATGTTGTATGTATGGAGTCCATAATTGATTTGGCATTTAATTTTAAAACAGTCTATGTGATATGCAGTGTTTAATATACATGCATTGGCCACTTTATTAAGTACACCTGTCAATCACATGGCAGCAACTCAATGAATTTAGGCATGTAGACATGATCAAGACGATCTGCTGCAGTTCAAATCGAGCATCGAAATGGGGAAGAAAGGGGATTTCAGTGATTTTGAATGTGGCAGTTTTTCAGAAACTGCTGATCTACTGGGATTTTCACGCACAACCATCTTTAGGGTTTACAGAGAATGCTCCGACAAAGAGGAAATATCCAGTGAGCGGCAGTTCTGTGGGCGCAAATGCCTTGTTGATGCCAGAGGTCAGAGGAGAATGGCCAGACTGGTTCCACCTGATAGAAAGGCAACAGTAACTCAAATAAGCAACCAAAGTCTACAGAAGAAGCTACAATTCACACAGGCTCACTAAAATTGGACAATAGAAGATTGGAGAAACGTTGCTGCTCTGATGAGTCTCCATTTCTGCTGCCATGTTCAGATGGTCGGGTCAGAATTGGCATCAACAATATGAAAGCATGGATCCATCCTGCCTTGTATCAGCGGTTCAGGCTGGTGGTGGGGGTGTAATGGTGTGGGGGAGATTTTCTTGGCACACTTTGGGTTCATTAGTACCAATTGAGCATCAACGCCACAGCCTACCTGAGTATTGTTGCTGACCATGTCCATCCCTTTATGAGCACAGTGTCTCCATCTTCTGATGGCTACTTCCAGCAGGATAAAGTGTGAATCATCTCAGACTGGTGTCTTGGACATGACAATGAGTTCACTGTACTCAAGTGGCCTCCACAGTCACCAGCTCTCAATCCAATTGAGCACCTTTGGATGTGGTGGAACGGGAGATTGGCATTATAGATGTGCAGCCGACAAATCTGCAGCAACTGTGTGATGCTATCATGTCAATATGGAGCAAAATCTCTGAGGAATATTTCCAGTAACTTGTTGAATATATGCCACGAAGGATTAAGGCAGATCTGACGGTAAAATGGGGTCCAACCCGCTACTAGTAAGGTGTACCTAATAAAGTGGCCATTTTCTGTAGCAAAAAATTGCTACAGAACAAACCACTGTTGTCCAATAACTTGCCTATTTAACCTAATTTACCTAGTTAAACCTTTAAATGTCACTTCAAGCTGAATACTAGTATCTTGCAAAATATCTAGTCAAATATTAAGTGCTGTCATCATGCAAAGAGAAAATAAATCGGTTATTAGAAATGAGTTATTAAAACTATCATGTTTTTAAAAATGTGTTAATCTTTTGTCTCTTTAACAACACTTAGAGAATATTTCGCAATATAGCTAATAATTTTGTTTGTAAACTGTAAAAAAAGCAACAAAGACAATGTAATTGGGTCAAAAATGTTTGTCACTCAGTGTTACAGATGAGCCACAGCCTGAACCTGTGACGGAGACAAAAGAAGATAAAATCAATGAAGACAAAACAAACCCACCAACAGGTCAGTCCTCAACACGTTCACCTTATTTCTGCTTTCTGTCATATATCCGCTCACTAATACTTGCTTGTCTTCACTACAGATAAAGTCACACATATTGACGTCCAAGCTGACCACGGTAAAGAGGACACCAGCACTAAACACAGGAAAAGTAAAAAGCACAAAAAACACAAGAGCAAAAAGAAGAGGAAGAAGCGTAAAGAAGGAAAAGACAGCAGCTCAGACACCGAGTCTGACAAACAGAACCAAGAAAGGTGTGTGATGCAGATTTTTTCACTCACAATAGATAAATAGTAGACCAAAAGAAACAATAGACCAAAAGAAGAATGGTTGTATCGCTGATGCCCTATTCACACGGGGCTTCAGCGTCAACGCTTCCCATTCACTTTGAATGGGTGACGTCAGGCGTTGCCGAACTGCATTGTGGATCCGTCGGCACCGCTTTAGAAGCGTTGCTCGCTGCAGAAGTTGCAACTAGCTCAACTTTTCAAGCGCCAACGGAAGCGTCAGCCAATCAGATCGCTGTATGCAAATACACCAGCTCAGACAGTGGCCTATTGCTGACTGGATTTCATTGGCTGACGCTTTTATGACGATCGCTTCAGCCCCAACTTCAGACACGCCTTCAGTCAAGCGTTGACACTGAAGCCCCTTGTGAATAGGGCGTGACAGGTCCAGATATTTAGCATGCCAAATATATGGCGGGTTTCAGCGACTCATTGGCAATTCTCTTAGATGGTGTCTTTGATAGTTCATACTGTGTGATTGTTACTCACATGAACGAGCTTCGATTTGCCTGTGATTTCAGGCATTTGTCGGCGATTTCTCAACCTGTCAGCGAGTCAAAATTGGCACTAAAATCATGCAGTCTGAACTCGGCATAAGTCGAATTTACAAAATGTAACAAACATATTTACAGAATGTTAGAAGACTGAATTCAGAGTTTATTGGATGAAATAATTTACTCATATGGCTTTCATATTAATAAAACAATTAAATACTTAATCTCACATGTTCCTCTGACTAGTTAAAACTGCATATTTCTCACATACTTTGAAACATTTGAGATAAAGTATGTCATTCATTCATTAATTTTCTTGTCGGCTTAGTCCCTTTATTAATCCAGGGTCGCCACAGTGGAATGAACCGACAACTTATTCAGCACGTTTTTATGCAGTGGATGCCCTTCCAGCCGCAACCCATCTCTAGGAAACATCTATACACACACTCATTCACTACAGACAATTTAGAACATGGGAGAACATGCAAACTCCACACAGAATTGCCAACTAAGCTGAGGCTCAAACCAGCGACCCAGCGACCTTCTTGCTGTGAGGCGACAGCGGGGGTGGGGGGGGGGGGGGGGGATTGAACACATCATGCTTTTGTCTGGTCATAATATTTGTAAAGGAGCTGTTGACATTAAATTGAACCAGATTTTGGTAAAAAAAAAAAACTTGGACACACATAACAATAAAACAAAACAAAGAAAATATGTCTGTATTAACAATGAAATGACAAAAGGAGAAAGTGCTGAACTACTAAAATTTGCTTAATACTTTATATGAAAGGCTTTAATGATTGCAGCTTAAAGACGCCTCTCTTATGGAGAATGAAGACTCATGCATTGCTTTAGTGTGAGTTTTTCACAGACTTCAGCATAGTGTTAAAATCTTGATGCTTCTGTGGTTCTCATCTATCAAATCTGACGTTTATTTTGTTTTCTCTAATGGATTCGGGTCAGGTGATTGGCTGGGCCATTCTACAGCTTGATTTTCGTTCTGAAACCATTTGAGAGTCTCCTTGGCTGTGTTTTGGATGATTGCCTTACTGAATGTCCACTCTGGTTTGATCTTCAGCCTCCTGCTAATGTAGATGTTGGACTGAAGCAGCTGATTTTTATTTACACTGAGGATTGCAGAGGCTTGCTGAAGAACTGCTGAGAGATTTCAGCTGCTGTCTGGGCTTTCACTGCCTTTCTACACCTTGCTTTCTTCATGTGTTCAACACTTTTTCCCTGCGTCTTTTCATTTCAATACACATAACTTAATTTCTAAACTAATTAGATTTATTTTCTTTGAATATTTCTGGAGGTTAGCAACACTCCAAAATTTCAAGTCAATGGCACCTTTAGAAATATGTTTCTGAGAAAAATGGTGACATGTTCTGTCCTTATTGAAAAAAATCTGAAATGCGCCTTTTGAAGTGTCTTTCTAATTGTTTACATAGTTTTTGTTCTTAATTTGCTAATTCTTCTCTTTGATTTTGTGTTTTCTGAAGCGGAAAGAAAAAGAAGCGAAAGAAGAAGAAAAAGAGCAAACATGCCGACAAAGCCAAGAGGTCAGGCTCACGATCTGAAAGCTCTTCAGCATCTGATTCTGAATCTGAATCCGAATCAAAACCTTCTAGTGAAAATACAAAGTCAGCAGGTAAGACTGAGCTCAAAGACAAATCCGCTCTTGATAAGCCTCAGGAGCTACCCGACATTATTCCCAAGATTGAGACTTCGGTCCACAAAAGCACAGAAAAAGAAAGACCCAAAGAAAAGAAAAGAAGCTCCAGCAGAGCATCCAAAAGTAAGGAGGCCTCCAAGGGAAGAAGAAGCAGATCTAGATCACCCAGACGGAGATCAGGACACAGATCCAGATCACGGTCTGTGAAAAGACAACGGCGATCGAAGTCAACGTCGCGCTCTAGAAATAACTCCAAAAAGAGTTCTCATCAGCCGAGAGAGAGAAGCAGATCGAGGTCAAAGAGACGCAAGGATAGATCCAGGTCTCGTTCTGTCAGAAGGAAACATTCGAGATCCAGGTCACGCTCCAGACGGACGAGATCCAGGTCTGTTGTGATCTTGAGAAAGAACAGAAGGTCTGCATCTAGGTCACGCTCTTCACGGTGTAGGAGTAAATCTCAAAGCAGAAGCAAATCTCCAAAATCAAGGTCTGTTTCAAAATCCAAAGATAGACCGATTGACAGTGAATCAAAGAATCATACTGTGGACAGTAATAAAAGTTCTGACACAAATAAAGATGGAGAAAATCCAACTGTGAACTCTGAGTGCAATTTGTCTGACGCTGCTCCCAGTGCTGGATTTAACACTGTTGTCTCCTCTGGTTCTTGGCGACCAATTCCCTTGCTGGCAGAACCACCCAAGTCTTCCCAAAAGTGCCTTACACCTGAGGTGCCTTTGGAAGTGGCCAGTGTGCATGAGGAACCCTCAACGCTCAAAACAGATCCAGAGTGTTCAGCCAATCCGGACAAGAAAGAACCCAACGCGAATCCAACAACCACCACAGAGACTTCAGCCAACTCATCGAAATCTCCCAATCCAAAAACCTCCTCCACATCCAAACGATCAGCTTCCAAAAAGAGAAAATCTAGGTCGAAGTCTTCGGAAAGGAAATCACACAAGTCCAGAACGAGGAGCAAACGCTCCAAATCAAAGTCGCCCAAGAAAAAGAGGTCAAGGTCTCGTTCGCAGGGCCACAGGAATAAATCTCGAACTCCAGACAGAAGCAGACGCTCCAAATCGAGAAAGCGATCACGCTCACGTTCGAGGAGGAGATCCCGGTCAGGTTCGAGATGGAGGAGAGGATTCGGAAGTCTGAGTCAGAGGGACCGATGGAAAAGGGAGCCCAGCCGATCTCCGGTGCTCATTCTCCGGAAGAAAAGATCCACATCCAGAACTCGACGCAGCACCAGCAAGACTCCTCCACGACTTACAGAACTTGGTACACAGATTTCTTTAAAGTTATTTTAAATGATTGAAATGATTAAAGGGTAAAGTTCCAGGCCTGCACAATATATCATTTCAGCATTAGGTATTGGCCAGTATAAGTTTCTGACAGTATGATAACCTTGGATAAATATATCATGGTATTTAGATTTACTGCTCTAAAATAATTTTTTTTAAATGTCTGTTGAAAAAACAAAAACCTTTTTCCCCATTGAACAAAGAATATTTTATTTTAAGAAACATTTCATATATTTTAGAGCAGTAAACATGTTAGGCAGGATAATTCAAATAAATCATTGACCAATGCTGTCTTAAAAAACACATTTTTATTTACAGCTTGAAAAGGTATCATTGGATATCTTTCTTTTTTGTGGATATAAAGTAAAGCCACTGCACTGTTCAGCTTTACAGCATGCTTGGATGTTTATAAGCGATTTGTTTTTAAGTGTGTACTGAATCGTGGGCTGACTAGTAGCTTTCAATGTGGAGGGTCATTTTTTGCTGTAGATACTGTTGTCCTTAAAAACTTGATGAAATAGTTGTCAAAATACTTGCACATCATTTAGGAATGGTATTACAGGAAGATTTTGCGTTTTTAAAACCTTGACCTTTCTTAACCGCAGTTGAAGGTGCTGTATGTAAGTTTGACACCCAGTGGTTGAACTAGGTATTGCACTCCTGGTTCAAAACCCACGCAAGCAAAGATTTTCAGATTGACGACACCAATAGCAGTGTGTCTGACTGTCAAGCCTAAAGGATGATTGAACGCTTATTTAAACCGTGTTCTAAATAAACGCAACAGCTTTTATTTCTTGCAGCTGAACAATAGAAAACTGACAAAGATCTCCTCAGGTACACCTCATGTGCTTTATTTAGTGTTAAATGCTAATAATGTGAGTTTGAATGCCATTTCACAAGATATCTATTGCCATTCTACTTATTAAAAGCAGCAGCAGATAGTTCACCTCAGATCCTGAAAATAAAATAAACTAGGGCTACAACGGTTTTTTTAATAATCGAAAAATCTTTCGATTTTTTTTTATTTTTTGATTAATCGATAAATCACATGCCTATTTCACATTTTTCACCAGTCTATTCCCCCTGCTCTTCTGTCTTGTTTTTCTTATATCCAGATAAGGATCAGTTGCTGGAAATAGCGAAGGCTAACGCTGCTGCCATGTGTGCCAAAGCTGGTGTGCCCATCCCGGACAGTCTCAGGCCCAGAGCTATTCTTCAGCTGCCATTGCCAAACGCAAACTCCGCGTCCTTGTCTTTGCCAGTAATGCCCAACATGGCCATGAATGCTGCCGTGGCGAGTATGACTGCCGCCACCATGACCGCCGCTCTGTCCAGCATCGGTGCCTTGGCCTCTTTCCCACAATTTGCCCCGTTGCCCACCATCGTCAACAAACCACCGTCTTCTGCCACACCAAACCTCGCCAGTATTGAAGAGGCCAAAAAGAAAGTCACAAAGCAGGCGAACAGCTTCAGCATTAAAGAGCTAACAGAGGTAAAACACTTTAATTGACATTCTCCCTTTGTACGTGTGATCAGAGGGGGAAAGCCCCGCCCACTAGTGCCCATCTCTCCCTCATTAGCATAAACAGCAGCCCTGAGTGAGAAGCAGCCGTCTGTTCATTAGCCATTAAAGTGTTTTAACTGCTGAAGATAATGCCCTGTTTTAAATCTGCGGATGCATACATGTTTGTAGCTCCGCCCTCTTTTATAAAGAGCACAATCTCATTTGAATTTAAAGCGGCAGTCACCAAAACACCACAATTAGGATCAAAGCATAAAAGGGTCAGTTTCGGAGAGTTATAAAACATTATTTGTGTGCTACTTTGAGCTGAGACTTCACATACACACACTCTAGGGACATCAGAGACTTATTTTGCATATTGTAAATATTGGGGACATAATAGTTCCCCTTTAAATCAGTGTTTTTGTTGCATTTACACAAATTTGACCAGTAGGTGTCGCCAGCATTTTATGTTTTGAATGCTTTGAATTGGTGAATCATTCTGCAAAGCAATTGGTTCAGTTGTTTTGATGCTCTGAAATGCATTGTTTTCCCCATCACCAGCTTGATGTGCATTTAACCAACATGTTTATTTAATTCCTCAGAGATGCAAGAAGATTGCTGAGAGTAAGGAAGAGATGGCCATCGCTAAACCACACGTGTCGGATGATGAGGAGGATGAGAAACTGTTCGGAGCTTCCCTTAAGGAGAATAAGGGCATTGCGTTCAGTCTCGGGGTAAGAGACACACCTTTTTTACATCAATATTGATGTTTCTTATACCTTTGATTTGAGGTTTTAATAATTCAATACCATATAAAATATTCCCCACATGTTTTGCCTTTAGTTTGTACAAGATTTGATTTAGTTTAATTCAAATAAAAATATTAGTTAATTGTACATTCTCTTTATTTTAACTTTTAGATGTCATAAAAATCAACATTTAACTTGCATTCTGTATATAATAAAACTGTGATGATGCCTTCATTCACTTGCTTTTTTCCACTATTTTTATGCCAAAAACAGATGTCATTGTTTATACCGAGATATTTTTTATAAACTCACTTCAACAAATCCTAAATGCACTGCCTAGTATATTGACAGCAATGATAATAAAAAAAATAAATAATAGAAAAATCATTCAAAGACATACACTATAGACAATTTAGCATACCCAATTCACCTGTACTGCATGTCTTTGGACTGTGGGCGAAATCGGAGCACCCAGTGGAAACCCTAGCCAACACCGGGAGAACTTGCAAACTCCACACAGAAATACCAACTGACCCAACCGAGGCTCAAACCAGCAACCTTCTTGCTGTGAGGCGATCATGCTACCCACAGCGCCACCGTGACGATGATTGTATAAAATAAGATAATAAAAATAAAATAAATAAATAGACAACAGTAATGGGTGATACAATCAGGAATAGTGCTGTGCTGTCTTCCAACCTTTCATTCGCTTGTACAGGTAGCATTAATTTAGTTTTTGTTTCCTTTTACATCTAAAGCATGTTCTTTTAAATTATATTTTTGTTTAAAGTCAGCGGTTACATATTTATTATCTAAATGAATAATTTAACAGCACTGTCTTTAGGAATTTTAAAGTTGAGGACCATTAAACTTGCATGTTACCCGTCAATTTACCATAACTTATTGAAATAAACTTTATTTTAAGGATTCTTTAATTGTTTTTTTAATGAAACTTTTAAATATTTTGCTATATTTGAATGAGCATTTGTAAAAATAAAAGAAACAGTGTTATTTAATAGTCTCTTGTTTAAAAAAAAGAAAAAAGCCCAGAATAGAAGAAAACTAATAATACTGGCATTTGAAAAAAGAATACATGCTATACTGACACTTAATGTTAAATCATATTAGACTGTATACCAAGTGCATTTGATTGATTCGTTCTTGAATATATTTATACTGTATATATGTATATATTTATAAATAATGGATATTAAATCGTGAAGGCAATTGCATTTTAATTACCATTGCTATCATCAAATTTCATTATTTAGTATAGGACGTTATTACTGTTTTTGAATCTGCCACTATGCTGACACACATGCTGTAGCTCCGCCCTATTTTGAATTTAAAGTGACAGTCACCAAAACACCACAATCAGGATGAAAGCCTAAAAGCTTCAGTTTCAGAGAGTTATAAAGCATTATTTGTGTGGTATTTTGAGCTCAAACTTGACAGACACACTCTTGGGACATCAGAGACTTATTTTAAATTTTGTAAAAAGGGGCATAATAGCCCCCCTTTAAAAAGTCTCATTGAACTGACTCTGATTTTAACATCGCTGTGTGCCTTTAATCCTCTTCTCCTCCAGAACACCTCAATAAAGCCAGGCGTCCGAACAGAAGCAGCCTTTGCTAAGGAGTTCCCGGTGTCGTCTGGCTCTCAGCACAGAAAGAAGGAGGGAGACGGAGCCTATGGAGAATGGGTGCCGGTGGAGAAGAAAGCAGAAAAACCATCTGCATCCAGTTCATCCGCCACTGAGGAAACCAGCAAGGACAGCGACAGCGTCTTTCCTGAAGCTCCTTCTCAAGTCAGTGTTCGGTTCCTGAAATCCATCAACTATAAGCCTGGACCCGAAATAAGCTTTTGTCTTTGTGTTGTAGCCTGTGGACATTACGCTGGCTGTCAGCGAGAGAGCCGTCGCACAGAAGAGGCTGGCAGAAAACCCCTTCGACATCAATGCCATGTGTATGCTGAACCGGGCCCAGGAGCAGGTGCGTTTATCTGGAGAAACAGGCCTTACATGCGACTATAAATCAAAGAAAGCTTCGCAGAAGAGTTGTGTGTGTTTTAAGTATATATTAAGTTTTTTGTTAGTAGTATGAGTGCTGTGGTTTAAGTACAACAAACAAATACAACAATTGAAATTAAAGTAAATAATAGGAAAAACAAGTTTAAAATTATTTTTAATAAAATTTTTAAAAAAAAACATTAAAACTATGTAAGCATAAGCTAATTCAGAATGCGAAATTTTACAGTTTTTCTCAGTCGCTTTGGTGCATTTCTCACAACACTATTTACATTTGCACAACAGGTCATGCGTTTCTCAAAACAATTAGTCATTCGTGCACATCTTAGAAGCAGTTTCCCATTCCTTTCAGCAAATTGCAAATGCTTTCGGACATGCATCAATTGCTTTCATACAACTCTCTGCTATTTATAACATTATCATTTGCTCATGTCATGTCAGTCAAAATGAACTAAACTTGTAAATGCTGAATAGTCATTCCATATAAAACTAGTAGTCTTCATTTCATTACTTGAGTCAACTAGTTGTCGAAATCTTGCAAGCTAATTTTATTTAAAAAAATGTTTAAATCTTTATTTTACTGAAAATGTCTTCTAAATTGAACAGTTTCATGAATGATTTATAGACCTGTGTATGTATGTTGGTTCAGTTCCAATATGTACTGTAATATTGTTTACAGTTGTGCACAGCTCTACCCAAAGAAAGTTTATGTTTGTTGTAAATAAGGGTGTTTATTCTTCTGCACAATGCTGTTAAAAACTTCAAATTGTAAAGAGCAAATGCAGAAAAAAATGTGAAACATACATATTCAGTGTCTTGTACTGGATACACTCACTAAATGCAGTGATGTCTAACTTTACTGTAGTTTTCAATTGGCTGTGCTAATAGTGTATATAGTGCTATCTTGAACATTTTCACAAAGTTTTACCAAAATCTGACTTTTTTGCATTGAAAAAATGTCCAGAGTAAACTGACATAGCGAAAACATGACAAAGTCATTTGGCTATCTTGTTCATAAACAATGGTGTCAGGACTTTTCATTTTGATGACACTGACTCTTGGATTGACATGAATACTTGCTGTTGAGGAATGAACTTTCCATTTTGAGCAAGAGACGCGCTTTTGCAGGTTATCAGCTTGGTTTTGCAGTTTGTACTAATTGTTTTGAGAAATGCATTAACTGTTGTGCAGAAATGCACTGGTGTTGTGAGAAACGCACCAAAGCGACTGTGAAAAACTGTAATAGTATGTAAGCAATACTAAATCTATTGCAAATGACTGAATTGCAAAATTAATTCTGAAAAAAGGCAATTTGAATTATTAATATATTAAAGGTGGCATGTAATGCATTGGTTTAATAAGTTAGATTGTTTTCTGATATCTACATAGTAGGTTTATGGTTTCGGTAAGTTTAAAAAAATCTCCAGAAACACTTTAAGAAGCTAATTTATTACTTCGCAAAATACCCAAAGAATCAGAAGGTCCATGATTGACCATATATGGTTTGTGTCGTGAATATTAATGAGCTCTTCTCTGATATGCAGCTCTTACAGACACACACACACACACAGAGAGCAAACACAGACAAATATAAACCCAATCAGAGTAACGTTAATTTGCTCACCAGATCTGTTGTGGATAAAGGCTAAATTATAATTAAACTTGACAAAAGAGAGTGGTAGAGATGTATCACGCTGTACTTTGAAGCTATAGTCAAGGAAGTTTAAAATATTAAGTTTAAAACATGTCTCGTGCTGTCTGTGCCCAGTAACGCACAGTAAAAAATGTGGGGCTCACGTTTCCAAAATAAAAGTCCCACATACATAATAAGTTAAATAAATGCTTAAAATAACTAAGGGAGGAAAATTATCTCTGCTTTATCACTAGAAGACGTTTGGCTTATCAAAGGCAGCTTGAGGCGTGCATATAAATGATTTCAGAGCTTATTTATAATCTCAGAGCTGCATATGAGTCGTGTTTTCTTCATGACGTGGCTGCTCTTGAGGTCCGGATGGATGACCTTAAGTAGGCATGAATGCAAATGAGGAGGGCATGGCCCGTGAGTCTATATATAGATGTTTTATTATTTTACTTTGCCTTCGTATACCCAGATTTTTATTATAGGGAAACTTTACCATTTACATATTTATTTATTTAGCTTACACTTTTATCCAAATTGACTTAGAAATGAGCATAAATAAACCATTTCAAATCACCAGCAATGTATAGATGCCCTGACAAGTCTATTAGTTCAGCTAGTGCTTTTTATTTGTAGTATTATTTTTATAGTATTTCATCCATACTACAATTGCATGCAGAATTCACTTCTCTCAGCCCAATTCACCATGTTTTTCCACAGATTTCCCCATAATCTGCATAGAAAAAGTCTGTATTACTCCATGTTCGAGTCTTTTTTTCCCACACATTATTTCTTATATTCGCTTGTTAACAGGTGGACGCGTGGGCTCAATCCAACACCATTCCTGGCCTCTTCACAGGTTCGACAGGTGCTCAGGTGCTCTCATCGGACGAGCTCTCCAACAGCGGCCCGCAGGCCTGGATCAAGAAGGTAAAGCCATGAGTCGACGGCACCACTCCTACAATGATGGTGGACATATACTGTGCTCGATGCTTTGTGTTTTGCATCATATATGTGTGTTTAATGCCCAACCATCATAAAGATTTCCTCATGCAAGTTGGCGTAGACCCTTATGACCTATTGTGCTTAATGTAGATTTGCATTGTTGTGACAAATGCTCACGTACAGAGGGCAAAATAGATCCTGAAATACACTAAAACTCAAAATACCCATCATCCCTTTCTATAGAAAATGTCATCTGGGGTTGCTTTGCCAACTGGTGTACCCGATCAGACTGATAGTCCAAGCTTTTAGTGTATTAAATGAAGTAATTCACCCAAAAACGGAAAATACTGCATTATTTACTTGCCCTCAAGCCAACCTCTGTGCACAGTCGGTGTAGTTTTACATTTTATCCTGGCTCTTAATAGTAGAATTTAATAGTGTTGAATAGTGGCTTTTATTTTGAAATTTCCATAATCACATAAGTTGTCGAACTAACCCATATGCTGCCAGAGCATTAAGGCATGTTTAATTAAGCAGAGTTATGTGTTTTTGGATCTGAAATATTCCTAATTATTAAGTAATCAGCCTGACATGAAGCAGAGCACTGTATTATAAGACTGAAGAGTTTATTCTGTAAAAAACAACCTCCTGGATGTACTCGCTTATTATATAGCTACTTGCCACAATACATAAAAAGTAGACACAAGCCATAATAGTTGATTAAAAGGTTAAAGAAACGCAAAGCTGACAAAAACAAAACTGGCAGATTAAAGCTGATTGAATATTCAGTAACCTGCACATTATTCAGACACTAGATGGCGCCAAACAGACAAAAACACAAAGCTGACACAATGAAAACAGCTGATGGAGTATACACTAACCTGCGCATTATTCAGACACTAGATGGCGCCAAACAGCCAAAAACACAAAGCTGACAGATCAAAAACAGCTGATGGAGTATACACTAACTTGCGCATTATTCAGACACTAGATGGCGCCAAACAGCCAAAAACACAAAGCTGACAGATCAAAAACAGCTGATGGAGTATACACTAACTTGCGCATTATTCAGACACTAGATGGAGACAAACAGCCAAAAACACAAAGCTGACAGATCGAAAACAGCTGATGGAGTATACACTAACCTGCGCATTATTCAGACACTAGATGGTAACAAACAGTCAAAAACACAAAGCTGACAGATCGAAAACAGCTGATGGAGTATACACTAACCTGCGCATTATTCAGACACTAGATGGTAACAAACAGTCAAAAACACAAAGCTGACAGAAACGAAAACAGCTGATGGAGTATACACTAACCTGCACATTATTCAGACACTAGATGGCGCCAAACAGACAAAAACACAAAGCTGACAAAATGAAAACAGCTGATGGAGTATACACTAACCTGCGCATTATTCAGACACTAGATGGCGCCAAACAGCCAAAAACACAAAGCTGACAGATCGAAAACAGCTGATGGAGTATACACTAACCTGCACATTATTCAGACACTAGATGGAGACAAACAGCCAAAAACACAAAGCTGACAGAAACGAAAACAGCTGATGGAGTATACACTAACCTGCACATTATTCAGACACTAGATGGCGCCAAACAGACAAAAACACAAAGCTGACAAAATGAAAACAGCTGATGGAGTATACACTAACCTGCGCATTATTCAGACACTAGATGGCGCCAAACAGCCAAAAACACAAAGCTGACAGATCGAAAACAGCTGATGGAGTATACACTAACCTGCACATTATTCAGACACTAGATGGAGACAAACAGCCAAAAACACAAAGCTGACAGATCGAAAACAGCTGATGGAGTATACACTAACCTGCGCATTATTCAGACACTAGATGGTAACAAACAGTCAAAAACACAAAGCTGACAGAAACGAAAACAGCTGATGGAGTATACACTAACCTGCGCATTATTCAGACACTAGATGGAGACAAACAGTCAAAAACAAAAAGCTGACAGAAATGAAATCATTTGAATGAAGCATAGACTACCCGATGCAATATTAATTCACAAGACAGCGGCAAACAGTCAAAAACTGTGGCGTGAGAGACAAGCAGACATATATAAATGTAAATATATGGATGAACGTATTCATTGACGGTCAAGGTGATTCCGTGAGTCTGTGTTGTTCAGTGGTTCATATCTGGAAATAATACCTTGGAAGGTGGCTCAGGGCCAATCAGAATCGAGTATCTCAGACAGCCAGGTGTTAATCCTAGATAACAACCTTTGAAACTAATAATGCAGGCTCATCCGGGACCTTTGTGTCATCTTGACTGTCATTAATTACATATTTGCTTGACTGTCTCTTTTTGACTATTTGGCGCCCTCTTGTGACTGAATAATACATAGGTTAGTGTATACTCTATTCAGCCATTTCATTACTCTTAGCTTTGCATTTAATAAAAGATTTAATAAACTATTATGTCTTAAAGCAATGCTTTGTGTCTAATATTTGCGCTTTTATGTAATAAGCAGGATAAAGTACATCCAGGCGGTTATTTTTCACAGAAAAAAGCCCTTCAGTCTTATACAACAGCTGCTGATAAAGTTCAAAACATCCATATGGGTTAGTTTTACGAGCAATATATGCACTTCAAAATAAAAGGCACTATCCAACACCAATAAATAGCCAGCATAAAATTTAAAACTACTCCTACTGTGTTTGTCTACAAGAAAAAACAAGTAAAATACACCAAGGTTGGCTTGAGGAAAGCCAAATTATTATGGGGTACTTTTAATTTTGGGGTGAACTATTTCTTTAAGCATTGATTTTGCAGTGACGTCAGTGTATCCGTGGAGACAATCTGGCTAAAGCAAATATGTGTTAACTGACGTCACAGCTCAGAGAAAACAAAACACAAAAAAAGAAAAGCGCTTCAGGACCTGACAAATATTTGTCTTGACCTTAAGCGAGACGCAGGTGAACGGGTGCAGCACTTGAGCATGGTCACTGCAGATGTGTGATTTGTCAAATTCTGTCGCAGCAGATGCATTGATGGAGAATTGATGGCGTCTCGCTTTTACTCCTCTAAAAAGTGTCTTATGAGAGAGGGGAGGAAGGAAGAGGATGTGAAGTAAGTCTCTCCTCTGAATGACCTGGGATCAGCCAATGAGTAGAGAAAGATGCATCAGGATCCAGAATCCCTGAGAGCTGATTGGACGAGGCACTTTTGGAAAAGGCCAAGCTTTAACTACACAAGCATATGAGTGGCAAATATCATTTTGAAATGTAATTTGCAAAATGGCAATGCATTATGTAAATATGTACAGCTGAAGTCAGAATTATTAGCTCTCCTGAATATTGTTTCCCCCAATTTTTTCATCACATTTCTAAACGTAATAGTTTTAATGACTCATTTCTAATCCTTTATTTTCTTTTTGCCATAATGACAGCACATAATATTATCTTAGATATTCTTCAAGACACTAGTATTCAGCCTAGGTTGATTAACTAGGTTGATTAGGGTAAAGTTAGGGTGATTAGGCAAGTCATTGTATAACAGTGGTTTGTTCTGTAGACAATGCATAAAAATAATGCGTAAGGGGGCTAATAATATTGACCTTAAAATGGGGTTACAAAATTAAAAGCTGCTTCTATTCTAGCTGTAATAAAACAAATAAGACTTTCTCCAGAAGAACAAAATATTGTAGGAAATACTGTGAAAAATTCCTGAATCTGTTCAACATCATTTGGGAAATATTTGACAAAGAAAATAAGAAATAATTGAATAATTTTGACTTCAACTGTGTTGCTAAATGGCAATGCAATATGTAAATATGTACATTTAATATGTATTTTTTTGTATTTAATTTGGCATTTTCTTTGATGTGCGAAGTTAGATGTTTAAATCGTCATTTTGCTTTCATTTATGCCTGTACATGTTGCAAACATCAGTTCAGTTTGGGTAATATATTTTCATCCTTATCTCAGCATATGTGGTAACATGTGGAGTTTTCATATTAAAACTGGTTGTAAATGGCAAATATAAATTATATAATTAATTTTCATTCTTATTTGATGAAGAATGCATTTTAAATACTGAAAAAATTTTGCATAATAAATTTCAAAATTAATTTTGCTGCTCATATGCTTCCATATTTATTAGCCTGTAGTTAATTACTATATTAATGTATGCTATTGTTCAAATATTTGGGGTTGTTACAGTGTCTTTTCTGCTCACCAAGGATCTTATTATTATTTATTATTTTATAGGATGTAAAATAGTTTTTGTCTTATTTAATAATATAAAAAAATAAAATCAGATTTTTTTTTTAGAATAATTTCTCTAATTTTCAGTGTTACTTGATGCTTCATAAAACATTTCATGCACATGAAAAACAGTGATTATTATCAGTGTTTCAATATTATTTTGGAAACTGATAAAAAAAAAAGATTCAGGATCCGTTGTTGAATAGAAAGCAGTTAAAATAGAAATATTGTGCGCCATTATAAATATCTGTACTGTCGCTTTTAATTGAAAATATAAATGTGACCCTGGACCACAAAACTCATAAGGGCGCTTTTTTTTTATTTTTTAGAAATTAAGATATAATTTTCTGAAAACAGAATGATAAAGGTTTTCATTGATGTGGTTTGTTAGGATGGCTGAAATGCAATTAATTATTATCATATAATTAATTATATGATATATATATATAATATATATATATTCTGAAATTTTCCTTTACCATTGAGCAAATTACATTCGTAGCCACCCACATTATAAATCAAACATTGTATTTTGATATATTTACTTAAAGACATTTACAATATGTCTTTATGGAAGATAGTCTTATTATTCTAATGATTTTGGCATTCAAATATTGATCATACAGACTCATACAGTGGGTGACACATCAAAAGCACCATTACCTCCATGTGTGGTGCCGTCCTGGCTCCTAAGTAATTAAGAACATGTGTTTAGGTGTAACAGCAGTTTGCCA